AACATAGTTCCATGCCAGCAAGGACTACACAATCAGATCTTACCTTAAAAAAAAAAAACAGCAAGGAGAAAAAAAATCTTCCTCATAAGGCTTCCCAATCAGAAGTACAGAAGAAAAGGAAAGGAACACATACACAATACTAATTGCTGTAGGCAAGATGCTAAAGACAGGAGAAAACTTAAGGAGGAAACACTCAAATGCAAAGTTCCAAATTCTCTTTCCACAAATACAGATTATAAAGTTAAAAACAGAAATTTGCCAGGCACTGGTGGCGCATGCCTTCAAGCCCAGCAGCACTTGGGAAGTAGAGGTGAAGGCAGAGGCAGGTAGATGGATATCTGTGAGTTTGAGGCCAGCCTAACCTACACAGTGAGTTCCAGGTGGTCCAGGGCTACCTAGTGAACATCAGAAACTGTACTGTAGTGAAAAATGACAGACAACAGTGAAAAAAACATATCAATCTCATTTACAGCAGATACAAGGACATTCTAAAATTACAAATAACAAAATATTTCAAAAAAGGAAAGGTCTTAGGGTTAGAGAGATAACTCACCAGTTAAGAGTACTTGCTGCTCTCCCAGAGGACCTTAGTTCAGTTCCCAGCACCCACATCAGGTGGCTCACAACCACCTGTAAATCCAGCTCCAGTAGATCTGACCACCTCTTCTGGTCTCCGAGGGCACCAGCACACATGTGACATATACTCTATTTATTTATTTATTTATTTATTTATTTATTTATTGGTCTTTTTGAGACAGGGTCTCCCTGTAGCAGGGTCTTCCTGTAGCCCCAGCTGTCCTGAAACTCACTATGTAGACCAGGCTGGCCTTGAACTCAAGGATCCTCCGGCCTCTGCCTCCGAGTGCTGGGATTAAAGGCGTGTGCCACCACACCCGGCTTTATACTCACTTTATTTTTTAACAAAAAAAAAAATTTAAGACAAGACCTTGACAATATAGCTATACAGTAAAAATCAAACAGTGAGGGCAGGCAAGATGGCTCAGGAGGCAAAGATGCCTGCTGCTTAACCTACAGACTTGAGTTCAATGCCCAGAACCCACATGGTGGAGAGAACCCAATCCCACACATACCACACTCAAAATAAGGTGTAGGACCAGACATGGTGGTAGATGCCTTTCATCCCAGCACTTGGGAGCAGAGGCAGGCGGATCACTGAGTTTGAGGCCAGCTCGGTTGGTCTTCATAGGGAGTTCCAGGCCAGCTGGGGCTACAGGAAGACCCTGTCTCAAAAAGAGTGCTCCAACAGTGAATTTTCTGTGGCTCCTGGTATTCAGGAAGTATTTCAGTGTATAAGCTGAGATGTCAGGGTTGCTAGAGTGAAAGAATAAAGTATGGCCTGCTGGGATTAAAGGAGTGTGCCACCATGCCGGGGCAGTTAGCATTTTTAAGTTTCCCCATTTAAGTACTTAACTTCAAAGCACTGGCGCCTCTCTGCTTATATTAGAAATCTGTCTTTTTAAAACTTTTTAAATTTTCGAGCAAAGGACTCACTAAGTTGCCCAGGTAGGCCTTGAACCCAGGGCCTCCTGCGTGAGAATCAGAAGCCTGCGCCACGCCGGGCTGTTCCTCAGCACCGCAGGAATTTTTAAAGCGATAGCACGACCGACCCCACGATACGCCCGTGGGCCTCTGCTGGAGTCAGTCGGGTACCAGGTCTCTGAGACGCGCAATGGCGGCCCTTAGACCTTCCGCATCCTCGGGAGCAGGAGGCCGCCGGCAACCGCACTCTTCCGCCGTCTCCACCCGGCGCGTCCGAGAACCCCACTGCCGCCGGGGACCGTTGCGGCGTTGGTGGTGTTAGTACGCGGCCGAGAGGCCCTGCCACCCGCGCCCTACCCGCTCCCTGCCGCTCACCTGCTCGCCTTCTCGCGATCCGGCACCCAGCGTTGCCCAGGAGCCGCCGCGCTGGCCAACGCGCCCAATCCGCCGAGGCCTCTCTAGGACGCCGGGAGGACCGCCCTCTCGACTGCTCCCGGCCGGCCTCTGTGCTTGAGGCCTAGGCCGATCCTCACTCACCTTCTTCCCTGCTGCTAAGCTCCTCTACTTTACCTAGGCTCTTGTGTCCCCAACAGGGTCTCTACATAGAAAGAGCATTATCTGGAAAAGTGGGGGTGACCAGGAGGAGTCTAATGTAGTGGAGGCCAGTTGTCACGCACGCACGCACACATACGCACAAAGGAACACAAAACTATTCAAAATGTCTCAATAAGACAATTTTATTTCTACCTAGCAGACAGTCCGCTGCTCTTGTTACGGGAGTTGGGACCGTTGGAAAGACCACTCAGACTGGATCAGAATCCAATCAGCCAAATTATTTATTAGACTTGTTAGCCACGGCAGCTCCAGATTCGTTCTTTCAGCTTGGTTGACGCTAGATGAGTGCTTTGATGGATTTGAGGGAAGAGGGACAGCCCCAGGGTCCCCCAGGTAAAATGAGGTGTCCATTTAGAAGAATCCACCAGGCTTCCATCTTGGTGGATCCTTGCTGATGAACCCATTTTTCCTCTTCGCTGGTATACTCATGGCAATCCAGCAGGTCTGCTTCAGGTAAAAGGATGAGGATTGTGGGAGATCCAGCAATCTGAGTGGCCCCACTGGCTCTTTGGCAGCTTTTTTCACGTGTCATAAGCATGTCTATTTCCCAAGCCTCAGCAGTGTCTCCTTTTAGGTGTCCGGGACAATGGATGACAGTGATCCTTTCAGGAGGACTGAAATTTCTTTCTTATTCTTGATCTACTTTCCAAAGTTGAGGTGAGCGGCCCTAGTTCCTGGTACACAGTGCCATGGACATGTGCAGTGGCAAAGATATGCTGACTATGAACTACCAGTACAAATGATGACCGTGAGACCATTTCCCCATCTTAACACTTGAGTCAAGGCTATTAATTCTGCCTTTTGGGCAAAAGATCCTTGAGGCAGATCACCTGGGAGAGAGTTACCACTCCGATGCCCACATACCTGACCCTGTCTTGTACCTAGATGCTTCCACCTGTGTACAGGGTCTAGGGCAGAACTTGCTCAGAGTTGCCTGCAATTAGCCTAAGTGCATTGGTGAGTAAAGAAAACGGTTTCTAGTAAGCTGATAAGGGCCTGGGGCTTCTCAGAGAATGGGGGTTCTGAGCTTTCTAGTTGGAAAAGGGAACATAAACCATGAAGGGGGGTCTGACAGCCCCCTCTACGTTTGGAGGTCCACTCAAGGGTGCCTCCCTGAGAGGGAGAACAGCAGGATGAGTAATCTGGCTCTGTTGGGGTGTGGTGTAATCCATCCAGGTTCGAGTGTGTGAGGGTGAGGGCATTAGGGTAGGGTATAGCCTTGGTGATGGGGCTGTTTGTGAAGGGAGAGACCTTCAGATACCCCTGGGTCCTGATTTGGTTGGGTATGAGGATGGTAAGGAGGAGGGATATCTTCATCCTCTCTCGTAGTCAAAACTAAAGGTCTACACTTTTTAACTAGGGCCCTGGATGCTAATATGAAAAGCCCTATTTTAGGGTAAAACACTTCAACCAAGGTGAGGGGTGAAGAAGGAGGGAGAACCAACAGTTGATATAGGGAAACTGATCAGAATGACCAGGATCCCCCCCCCCCCGTTAACCACACTCCAAACACCGTGGGCAACGTGGGGGTCAAAACAGCCCCACATCTGGCCATCCCACCCCAAAGGAGGGCCATCCCAGTTCACAGAAAGTATGGAGCTTTCCTGGGAACAGATGACTCCGTAATCTGCCTCTCAGAATTCCTGAAAATGATGTAGCATGCAGCCTAGAGGGGTTTTAACCATGCTAGGTCCAGCTTCCATGTCTGCAACAAAACTTACAAGCACACCAGAAGACACAGATCCACCAGACAAAACTGAACAATAGAAAGAGACAAAATATTACACAAAGACCACACAAACACAGACATATGGTGGCCACCTTCATCAATACACCTAAATCTTAACCAGGGGGACAGGAGGACATATCCTGCTGTCCCTGGAGACAGGGCTATGATTGCATCCAATCTACCTGAAGTCTCCCAAAATGTCCAGACCCCAGAATACTTACCAATTAGTCCTGTCCTGCTTGGCAACCAGCGTTTTCTTTCTTTCAGTTTTAAATTTTGCAGTGGTCACAGTCTTGGGGCACCCATGGGCCTCTGAGCTGACAAACAGGCCCACGCCTGTATCATGCCTTTCCTGGACCAGCAACCCTGAGTCTGGGGTTCCCCAGGATCTCACTAGGACAGGCCTCCAACTGTTATGGAATTCAAGACCTCTGGAAAGACCACTCAGACTCAATCAGAATCCAATCAGCCAATTTATTTATTAGACTTGCCAGCCAACTGCAGCTCCAGCTTGGGAGTAGAGACTGCAGTGCAGGCAGGAAAGAAAGCAAAACTTTTAAAGCAAAAACCACAAGACATCTGGTTAACATGTTACAAGTCATGGAGTAGTCATGCAGTTTACAAGTCATGGGATAGTCATGGGGTATATTTGGTATCTTAGATAAACCATGTTACTCTGTCAGCCCCTGCTTAGGCAAGCAAGCAAAGGCACAGAAGCACAAAATAAACTGTTACAGCAGCTGGGTGGCAACATCTGTGGTCAGATATTTCTCAGAATTGGACTCTGAGGGGGAAAGGAAGGGGACTTACTGGAACCAGACTTAGTCCTGGGTCAAGCCTGCCTGGCTCCAAGGATACAAGATGGAGTTGTTTCAGCCACACTGTCACAGTCTTTTATTCCTAATGCAGGAGTAGACCCTGACTTTGTTCTCATTGGCTGAATCCAAAGGTGTGTGTGTCAATGAAAATTTACCAAAAATGAGGTGGTGGGCTAAGAACCTTGAACCATGGAAAGCCCTGAGATATGAAAAGAATGACAAAGGTTAATAGGGATCTGTGGTCTATTACAGGTCTAACTACCAGGTACACCCCATTGAAACATTTGTTTGCCAAACTGCTGTATTCATGTGATCTTTTGTAACTGTAAGAAGCACACAGCAAAACCACCAAACAGGACCACTCCATGAAAAAAAGTTTATTAAAGAACTGCTGAGCTACCTCTCAAGAGCAGAGAATAGCGCCTAGCAGAAGAAGTAAAGCAGGTTTTAGAGGCAGTTAGGGGCTTGGGTTACTTTCAATGATGCTCTCACCTGGGGGTAAACATTGAAAAATAAGGAAGCTGGATGGGTGTTTTGTAAGGTGAATGGGTGGGTTTAAGAATACCCTTCCTTAGGGCTGGAGACATGGCTCAGCAGTTAAGAACACTGGTTGTTCTTGCAGAAGACCTGGGTTTGAATCCCAACACCCACATGGCAGCTAACAACTCTCTGTGACTCCAGTCCCAGGGGATCCGATGGCCTTTCCTGACCTCCATGGGCACTGCATGACATGGGTGCTCTTACCTGCATGCAGGTAATATACACATACACATGGGGTAAAATTTTTTTAAAAATTAAAAAAATACCCTTGCTCAAAAGGTTCTGTATAATGGGCTTTCAACCCTATCTTTTAAGGAAATGTGGTACTGTGGGTGATGGGTAGGAAAAGAGGTTATAGAGGGAAATTTGGATGGAGGGGTGATGAGAGGCCATGGAAGGGAAAGAGGTGTCTCAGACCTTACAAGAGAATCTGGGAGAGGATGAGGTGAAGGAGGCAAAGCTGAAGTTTTGGTTGGAGGGTCCTCAGAGGCAAGAAGGAAGAGGAAGAGCCCAGAAGGAGTTGGATGAAAGGAGAAGGAGAAACGATGCTTAGTCATGATGTCTCTGCCTATCAGTGGAGTAGGGCAGCTAGGCATAATAAGGAAGGAGTGATGATTAGGTGGCCCCAGAGGGAAGAAAGGAGGGAAGACAGAGCTCGGGGTTGGTGGGGGCAGCCATCAACACCCATCACAGAGATCTGAGAAGGATAAGTTTTACCGGAGTAAGCAGGAAGTATAGACCAAGTGGCCTGAGAACTGATTAAAAATGACAGAAACTTACCCACTATTACAACACTTAGCCTGGGCTCCTCTGTGGTGACTCCAATGTTTTTGGTCAGGGCTGAAGTCCCAGGGCAGAATCAGTCTTCAGCTGCCAGGTCCAGAAGATCCTCAAGATTGCCCTATGGAGGAAAAACTTGGGGGATTAACCTACCTTGATGAAGTAAAGAGGGGCAGTCAACCTTCCAGTGTCCCATCTATCCACAGTTAGGGCAGGGTCCTGGCAGCAGTTGAGGTGTAGGGCAGTCCTTTGCCCAATGGTCAATATTGCTACATTTGAAGAAAAACCTTGGTGGAGTCCATTGTTGCTCCATCCTCTTCTGGGGAGGCCTCAGTGATATTGCCAGGAGCTGGTATTTCTGTCTATCATGGGCGACCTCCTTGGTCCATTCCTGTTCTTCCAGCCCATTAAAGACTTTAAATGCCATATGAAACAAATCCTTTTGAGGGGTTTGAGGGCCATCATCTAATCTCTTAAGCTTTTTGTAATATCTGGGGCTAATTGGGAAATGAAGTGAGAGTTAAGAATCAGCGTGCCCTCCTGGGAGACGGGATCTAGCTTAGTAAATTGGAGGAGAGTCTGTGAGCCTGGCAAGAAACTCTGCCAGGTTTTCAGAGGGTGCTGGGTAATTTCCCTCAGTTTGTCACAAAGTTAACTACTTTGTGGGAGGCCTATTGCAAACCTGCTAGAAGGCAGACAACCATTCTGTCTCTTGCTGCCCTTCCAGGGGAATAATTCTCAGCATTAGTTTGGTAATCCCAGTGGGGATGAGTGTGGGGAACGGCTGTGGCCCCCACAGGGTAATCATCATCTGTGTGGTGAACATCATACATGTGAGCCTGGGCTGCCATCTGAACCCTTTCCCTCTTATCAGGGGTGAGGGTGGTAGAGAAAATGATACAGAGATCATGCCAGGTCAATTCATACGCTGGGTAAGATACCTAAATTATTTAGTAAAAGTAGTGGGATCATTAGAAAAG